CCTTCCTTCCTCCCTCCTCTCCTTCCTTCCTTCCTTCCTTCCTTCCTTCCTTCCTTCCTTCCTTCCTTCCTTCCTTCCTTCCTTCCGTCCTTCCTTTCTTCTTTGTCTTCGTACCCTCAGCCCCTAACTGCAATGCCTGGAACATAGTAGTAGGAACTTAGTAAATGTTTGTTGATTTGAGTTAAAAGATGAAAAGTATCCAAAGACCTAAAGAGGCATCCTGACCTGCTCTCTAGAGGTTTGGGGTCATAACGTAATATTGAGAAGAAAGGGCAGAGAAGGCCAGTTAAACCTGTGATACATATGGGGTTTTCCCCACCAAGGGGGAAGCTTGATCCTCGGAGGCAGAAGAAGGGATGCTATGTGGACCCGCAAGCACCACGGGGGAAAGGGCCCTGTAATTGCCACAGGAAGAAGAGACCCGTGAGAGGAACATAGGAGTCAGTCATACACGTTGACTTGACTTGACCTGAATAAGAAGTAACACTTGCCACTGAGGGGCCTTCTCTGGGACAGGGCAGAGTGTCTCCCTAGACTTTCAGATTTAGAATGACCCCACCCTTCTGGGGCTTGTGTAGGGTCAAATAATGCCACAGAAAAAATCAGGAGAGTACGATGACATCCCAGGCAGGAAAATGGAGACATTATGGACACAAAAGCTCTTGACTGCTTCTGATTGCCTCAATAGAATATAAGCTCCTCAGGGGCAGGTACCTCACCTTTGTCTTTGCTTTCATTAAACTTCTGCTTTGTACTGGACTCTATCAGGCTCTAGGGATACAGAGACAAAGGTGAAACATCCTTGCCATCTAGGACATTCTATCGTACTGGGAAAAACAACTGGCAGATCTATAATAACACAAGGTAGACACAAAGTGATTGGGTCACGGAGGGTATTAGTAGCTGGTGGGATCTAGGGAAGCCTCTTGTCAAAGGCAGGTTTGAACTAGAATGTGAAGGAAACTAAGGATGGATTCTGAAAGGCAAATATGAGAAAGGGGTGAATTTCAGGCATGGTTCAATCAGTGCCCAGAGTCAGGACACAGGCAGAAAGTCCCACTGTGCTCTGCCCTGATCAGACCACATCTGGAGATTAGGTTTGATTCTGGGTGCCTGAGTTAAGAAGAGATATTAATAATCTGGAGAGCATCCAGAGAATGGGAACCAGATAGTGAAGGGGCTTTAGTCTATGTTAGGATGCTTCACTTGGAGAAAAGATGGTAACAGACGTAACAGCTACCTTCAGATACGTTATGCACAAGAGGGTTTAGACTTCTTTCTGGCCTCAGAAGGCAAAACCAGGAACAACAGCTGGGATTTGAAAAGAGGAAAATGTGGGCTTGAAATCAGAAAAAACAAACAACTTAACTGAACTATTTAAATAAAGTCATTGATAATAAAAAATTAGAAATGGATAGCAGACATGACATCAGCACCAGCTAGAATTTTATCCAGAAGAATTAATTTGCCATGTGACCCTGGGCAAGTCACTTAACCTCTCAGACTCAGTTTCCTCATCTGTAAAATGAGGATTAAAATAGCACCTGCTTGAAAGAGTTGTTATCCAATGAGATAACCTATGTAAAGCATTCTGCAAATCTTAAGGCTCTGAGAATGCTAGCTATTGATTTTACCTAAAATAATGTAACTAAAAGAATATCAATAACCACCAAGCTATGCTCTATTATCAATGGAAAATCTTTGAGAGTTATCTATATGAATCTGGGGCATTCTTGATGAAGGTACTAAGAGGGAACCTTCAGCAGGCTTTCCTAAGCTATATTCAGTGATGGACCATTTTTTTACCCTTTTGCAATAAGCCAAAAACGTTGAGAATATAACCTCCAGAGATTGTTATTTGTTGATTGTGAAAAAACAATATATTCTATGGAACAAAAATGCTCCTTTGCAGTTTCTTTTACAATAAGGTGTCTCTCATCAAAATCATTCAAGATTCTTTGACATATATAACAACAGAAATAATTCAGTGATGTATATTCCCCAATGTATTTGCCATGGTGATAGAGGCAATCTATCTTTTTTTTTTTTTTGGTGAGGCAATCAGGGTTAAGTGACTTGCCCAAGGTCACACAGCTAGTATGTGTCAAGTGTTTGGTCTGAGGCCGGATTTGAACTCAGGTCCTCCTGACTTCAGGGCCAGTGCTCTATCCACTGCGCCACCTAGCTGCCCCGGCAATCTATCTTTTAATGATATCCTATTAATCATGCATATATATATATGTTTGCATGTTGTTTTCCTCAGTTTAGATTGTAAGCTCCTTAAAGGCAGGGATTGTCTTTTGCCTCTTTGTATATCCAGAGTGCTTAGCACAGTACCTGGCACATAATAGGCATTTAATAGATATTGATTGATTGATCCAGCACAGAGTCTAAGTTAAAGAAATATTCCCTGAGGATGCTCAAATCCTTTGGAAGCTCCCATTTGCAGAGGACATTGTGCTGATTGCATCAAGACCCAGAGCACCAGAGCTTCTTGGAAAAGGTATGAAATAACTCGAAAGAGTTTGACCTAAGAGTTATGGAAGAAAGAACTGGAAAGGAAATTAACAGCTTGGCACAAGAGGTACAAAACATTGCTCAAACAACAAATTCTTTGAAAATTGGAATGGACCATATAGATGCCAATTATTTCATGAGGCAACAAGAAATATTAAAACATAGTCAAAAAACCTAACAAAGAAGATAATATAAGGCAGCAACTGATCTGGGAAAAAGATTTAGGAGAAAAATATTAAGAATCATTGAACTATTTGAAGACAATGACTAAAAAGAGCCTTGACATTCTATTTCAAAAAATCTTAAAACTGTCAGACCTCTAAGAACCAGCAGGCAAAGTAAAGAAAGCATTTACTCATCACCTCCTAAAAGAAACCTTTAAATGAAAACCCTGAGCTAAGATCTAGAGTTTCTAGGTCAAATAAAAATTAATACATGTAGCCAGAGAAAGAATTCGAGCACTAATTAGCCACAATTGGGTTCACACAAGATTTAGCAGCCACTAATCTAAAGGAGCAGAGAACTTGGAA